CCACCAAAAACCTCTCGGGAGCCCTTCCCGGCACCCTGCCGGAGGGGGGATCCTTCACCGGTGGCCATCTTCATCATCCCGGCGCTCTCCATGACGAGGAGGGAGTAGTTCAGCCTCGGGGCTGAGGGTATGTACCAGTAGCTATGTGTCTGATCTCTCTCTCTCTCTCTCTCTCTCTCTCTCTCTCGTGTTCTCTCTCTTGTTTCCTCTATGGCACGATTTTGATGTGTCCCGAGCTTTGCTATTGTAGTTGGATCTTATGATGTTTCTCCCCCTCTACTCTCTTGTGATGAATTGAGTTTCCCCTTTGAAGTTATCTTATCGGATTGATCTTTTAAGAGAACACTTGATGTATGTCTTGATGTGCTTATCTATGGTGACAATGGGATATCATGTGCCTCTTGATGTATGTTTTGGTGATCAACTTGCGGGTTCCGCCCATGAACCTATGCATAGGGGTTGACACACGTTTTAGACTCTCCGGTAGAAACTTTGGGGCACTCTTTGAAGTACTTTGTGTTGGTTGAATAGATGAATCTGAGATTGTGTGATGCATATCGTATAATCATGCCCACGGATACTTGAGGTGACAATGGAGTATCTAGGTGACATTAGGGTTTTGGTTGATTTGTGTCTTAAGGTGTTATTCTAGTACAAACTCTTGAATAGATTGATCTGAAAGAATAACTTTGAGGTGGTTTCGTACCCTACCATAATCTCTTTGTTCGTTCTCCGCTATTAGTGGCTTTGGAGTGACTCTTTGGTTCATGTTGAGGGCTTGTTATATGATCTATCTATGTTATTATTGTTGAGAGAACTTGCACTAGTGAAAGTATGAACCCTAGGCCTTGTTTACTAGCATTGCAATACCGTTTACGCTCACTTTTAACACTTGTTACCTTGCTGTTTTTATAATTTCAGATTACAAATACCTTTTTCTACCATCCATATTACACTTGTATCATCATCTCTTCACCGAACTAGTGCACCTATACAATTTACCATTGTATTGGGTGTGTTGGGGACACAAGAGACTCTTTGTTATTTGGTTGCAAGGTTGTTTGAGAGAGACCATCTTCATACTACGCCTCCTACAGATTGATAAACTTTAGGTCATCCACTTGAGGGAAATTTGCTACTGTCCTACAAATCTATGCACTTGCAGGCCCAACAACGTCTACAAGAAGAAGGTTGTGTAGTAGACATCAAATCACATGGCAATGTGAACTAGATTATTGACTCTAGTGCAAGTGGGAGACTGAAGGAAATATGCCCTAGAGGCAATAATAAAGTTATTATTTGTTTCCTTATATCATGATAAATGTTTATTATTCATGCTAGAATTGTATTAACCGGAAACTCAGTACATATGTGAATACATAGACAAAACAGAGTGTCCCTAGTATGCCTCTACTTAACTAGCTCGCTAATCAAAGATGGTTATGTTTCCTGACCATAGACATGTGTTGTCATTTGATAAATGGGATCACATCATTAGGAGAATGATGTGATGGACAAGACCCATCCGTTAGCTTAGCATTATGATCGTTACAGTTTCATTGCTACTACTTTCTTCATGACTTATACATGTTTCTCTGACTATGAGATTACGCAACTCCCGAATACCAGAGGAACACCTTGTGTGCTATCAAACATCACAACGTAACTGGGTGATTATAAAGATGCTCTACAGGTGTCTCCGAAGGTGTTTTGTTGGGTTGGCATAGATTGAGATTAGGATTTTTCACTTCGTGTATCGGAGAGGTATCTTTGGGCCCTCTCGGTAATGCTCATCACTATAAGCCTTGCAAGCAATGTAACTAATGAGTTAGTTGCGGGATGAAGCACTACGGAACGAGTAAAGAGACTTGCTGGTAACGAGATTGAACTAAGTATGATGATACCGACGATCGAATCTCGGGCAAGTAACATACCGATGACAAAGGGAACAACGTATGTTGTTATGCGGTTTGACCGATAAAGATCTTCATAGAATATGTGGGAGCCAATATGTTTCGGTCATGTCTACATAGTTCTCGAACCCGTAGGGTCCGCACACTTAACGTTCGATGATGATTTGTATTATGAGTTTATGTGATTTGATGACCGAAGCTTGTTCGGAGTCCCGGATGAGATCCCGGACGTGACGAGGAGTCTCGAAATGGTCGAGACATAACGATCAATATATTGGAAGGCTATATTCGGACATCGGAAAGGTTCCGAGTGATTCGTGTATTTTTCGGAGTACCGGAGAGTTACGAGAATTCGCCGGGGGAAATAGTGGGCCTTAATGGGCCATATGGGAAAGGAGAGAAGGGCCTCAAGGGGTGCCCCCCCCATTGGTTGGTCCGAATTGGACTAGGAGGGGGCAGCGCGCGCCTCCTTCCTTCGCCCCTCTTCCTCCTTCCCTTCTCCTAGTTGGAATAGGAAAGGGGGGGCCGAATCCTACTTGGACCGAGAGTCCAAGTAGGACCTTTTGGCGCGCCCCCTCTAGGTCGGCCTCCTCTTCCTCCCTCCTTTATATACGTGGGCAGGGGGCATCCCAAAGGCACTCCAAGATTTGTCTTAGCCGTGTGCGGTGCCCCCCTCCACAGTTACACACCTCGGTCATATCGTCGTAGTGCTTAGGCGAAGCCCTGCGCCGGTAACTTCACCATCACCGTCGCCACGCCTCGTGCTGAAGAAACTCTCCCCCGGCCTCAACTGGATCAAGAGTATGAGGGACGTCATCGAGCTGAACATGTGCTGAACACGGAGGTGTTGTACGTTCGGTACTTGATCGGTTGGATCGCGAAGAAGTTCGACTACATCAACCGTGTTATTGAAACGCTTCCGCTTTCGATCTACGAGGGTACGTGGACACACTCTCCCCTCTCGTTGCTATACATCACATAGATAGATCTTGCTTGACTGTAGGATAATTTTTAAAATTACCGCGTTCCTCAACATGGCCAAGGGTGCTGGCCCAAAGAAGAAGAGGGGAACCACGAGCTAGCAAAGGAAGACAAGGGCATGATCCATAATCACTATCTGAACTCACTAACCCATCGATGGTACATCATTCAAGAGGCCATTAACAAGCTTTGCGCCTCATACAAACAAGTGCAAACCCACTGTCCAAGTGGCGCGTCATTCCTCGAGCTCGTAATATTTGGCTTGTTTCTCTATGTGTTGGTCATTTGATTGATTTAGTCAATGTTGTAACTTGTTGACCATGTCCTTTTCTTCCTTTGATAGTCCACACGAGCGTGCACATTGTAGCACAAGACGACAGAGAAGAAGCACTTCGTATTTTGGCATTGTTGGATGAAGTTGAATGTGCAAAGCAAGTGGCTTGACACCATTTCCAACTCCCTAAAGACTGCCATGGTCAATGAAGATAAAGGTGGTGATCCAACAAAAGAAGGGCATGCTCCGGACACCCATGTGCCTATGAACCGTGGGAGAAAGTGGGAGGTGGGGAAAGAGAAGCGAGAAGGGATGACGGCCAAGATGATGGAGAAGTTCAAGATCATCATGGTAAAAAAGAAGGAAGCAAAGGAGGACACAAAGGCGGAGAGGTTCGACATGTTCATGGACATGCAAAATAACATGTTCAAACTCGAGAAGACAAAGATTGCTATCAAGGCCGAAGCCGAGGCATGAAAGATGCTATTCGTGAAGGCGGCGAACTTGAATCTCAATGCGATGAAAGAGTTCCATGTTAGCACGCAGAAATACTTTTACGCAAAAGGATGATGAAAAGGAGGCTGAAACTTGAGGTCTTTGGAACTGACAACTAAACTGGGTTTTTTAGATCGTTGGATGTATAAAACTCGATGAACATCACGTGCTTTTGTTGGTAACTATTTAAATGAATGGTTAAATTGTTGTTCATCTTAATTTGTCAAATGGAGGAGGCCGGACAAGGATGAACATTTGATGACTCTGACGTTATAGGACTTGGTTGAGTGGCGTATTTTGGTCCGAACACTATCCGCCGGGTGTACTGGGAGAGTGGGGTTTGGGTTGAAGATGCTCTAAGTAGAGACACGGGCATCACATATGACTGATCTGTAGATTTATTGATTTTGCTATTCCTCATGTGGCTGAATTTTTTTCATGCGCCAGCCATTTTTTTTGGGGCGTGTCAGACCTCACCGGAGAAGAAGAATCCTCTTAGGAGGAAGCAGCAGCCCAATGATCTATCTTGTGAGGAAGCAACGGACCCATTATCTATTTTACGGGGAGGGTGCACGGGATCGCTGGAGGGTGGGATGCAGGGAATCGTCGGAGTTGTTCATCGCTGTGCAGGGCTTAAAGGGATGGCCAAGAGGATGACTAGTACGGCCGTGGTGGGACGGCGGGGTGGCGATAGCCGCCGGCTGTGGGGGTGGAGGCCAACGGCTATGTGATGAAGAAGGTGGAGACTGAAGATGAACAGCGCCAGAGCTTTTTTCAACTGTTGGATGAAGATCGGACGGTGCAACTTTTTTCAGGGTCCGTGTATGGATTATGTACACCCACGGCATGGTAGGGTGTGTACTTGGATCGTGGCGGGTGTTCAGAAATGTTGTCGAAGCTGGGCGTGCTGTGTTGTCGCAGTTGTACCCTTGAAGATTTAACACCACTTGAAAAGTAAGCAAACGTACACAAACACAATAAACCAAAGAGGGCTCGAGAAGTCCACGGCAAGCATCGGCAGACGTCCTGCCGTGTCCTGTCCTAGACTCCTGGCTAGCTAGAGCAGTCGAATAAAAAACACTTGCCCTAGAGAACCCTGCCATCACCCACGTACAGTCGTACACACTGACGCGCACATTTGCTACACTGCACGGTACATATACGTACACACGCCACGGCAACACACGACATGCACACGCCTGCGCCTGTCATGTGCACCACACACACACGTATGTACGTACGCGGACGCATGCATAGTGCGCTTCGTACGTTACGTTAGCTAGCTACGAAACCCCTAGCTTTGCTAGCTAGGCGAGCTACAAACCTCTAGCTTAGCCTCACTGGAACTCGGCGAACAGGCCGTCCGCCGGCGGGTACAGCGAGAACCCGCCGTGGAACAGGCCCAGCTCCTCGGCCGCCATGTCCAGGAACACCTGGTACTCCTCCGCCGTCACGGCCGTCGTCACGTTGGACGCTGCCGACGAGTCGTCCCCGGGCGGGGGCAACGGTGCCGCTGCTGGCTGCGCCCCTTCACGTGGCGCCGACCCTTCGCGCGGTGCCGAGCCCGCCGACTTGCGGCGGAATGTGTCCCCGACCTCGGAGTTCCAGAGGCGCAGGAAGACGTCGGACGGCGCGTCGGCCCCGTGCTCGCCCCCGGCCGCGGCGGTGGAGGAGGACGAGGAGGCAGTCACGCTGGTGGTCGCGGCGGAGGTGGAGAGCATGGAGAGGCGCGCCTCGGCCTCGAGGCGGGCGGTCTCCCACTGGGCCGTGTGGCGCGCGGCGAGGCAGCCGGCGCCGACAGAGGCGCCTGGGCTGGCCAGGGCGGGGTGCTGCTCGCCGACGAGCGCCGCCTGGCGGAGCTGCTTCTTGAGGTTGGTGTTCCAGTAGTTCTTGATCTCGTTGTCCGTCCGGCCCGGCAGCTGCGCCGCGATCATGGACCACCTGGTTGAGAAGATCGACCACCACGATAGAACAGCGTCAGAGCGTCGGCTTTGGATGCACATGGTCAGCGAGACGCAGTGACTTAATAAATGGCATCGTTCGTTGATCATTCAATGAGCATCCTCATTCAATATAATACGTGCAAAGATACGCACGTACTTATACTGTAGTAGCACGAAATGTGTTAACAGTAGTAGGAGGAGCACTCACTTGTTGCCGACAATGGCGTGGAGCTGGAGGATGGACTTGTGCTCCTCGGGGGTGAAGGGCCCGCGCTTGATGTCCGGCCGGAGGTAGTTCGTCCACCGCAGCCGGCAGCTCTTGCCGCACCGGTTCAACCCTGCACGCATGCGCCCTCATCACCTCAACCAAATCGCCCAACCAAACAAATTATCCGTGCGGCATGGCTGAAGAAAGGGCCGTAGAAAGGAACTACGAAGTAGGAAGAGCGCATGCATGGAATGGCTGTTGGCCGGCAAGACACGTACCGGCGAGCTTGGGGAGCATGCGCCAGTTGCCGGGGGCGTTGGCCTGGACGTAGTCGACGAGGAGCTTGTCCTCCTCCGGCGTCCACGGCCCTTTCTTGAGCCCCTGCCTGCTCTCGCAGCAGGGCGTCCTCCCCATGGCGCCGGCGCACCACAACCGACGACGAAATGGACGCGCCCGCCGTCGACTAGATCGACCGACGTATCCACCACCGGGGTAGGAGGAGTAGTAGGCAGCGAGAGTGGAGACTGGGCGATTGGCGACACAGACAAGGAGAGCAGCAAGACGGGACGTGGGCAATCAATGCGGGGGCGGATTTATAGGCGGAAGGGGATGCCGGAGGGTCATAAATGCCTCGGATTTTCACCTGCTGCTGCGAACAACGAGAGTGGGGGAAAAAGGGCACCGATAATAAGTGATCGAGCTGACGGGCAGAGGAAGGGCACCGCATTGAAGACGCATGATGCGCTGCATTCTTGCAAGTACGACGCGAGGGCCAGAGAGAGAATTCAATGCCTTGGGTAGGGGACGACCCGTTGTCTGCTGCTGTTGCACGATGTACAACTGCACTACTGCAGCAGACGGCAGGGCAGGGTGCGTTCTCAACTGGACGACCTGTGTAGTGTAGGAGTAGTAAAAATCAAGTCGCGATCTAGTCAAAAACAATAAAAGAAAATCAACTAGAGATCACTCTGCTTTGATCGCTCCAACTTCTGAAGTGCTCATGTAGTAATCCAAGTAATTTAAGAAATGAGCCACGCTGACACGTCTTGCCCATGTGTCCCCTAATGTGGGTATGTCAGGCTTGCATTTCGTGCTGACGTGGCATCGTTCATAGTCAGCATGATTCTCGCCCTACAGGTTTTTAAGATGCTAGGTGGATAGAATCAATTTAGCTAAGTATATATGCAAGTCGCCTGAAAATTGGCTATGCCTCTGTCTATTTTTTTGCGTCTATTCCTAGCTTGATGTTGGTTTTGGGAGAGCAACTAATTAACGAGCGCTCCTTCGAGATCCTCATAACGATCAGCGTTCTTTGGCACGCTCCCAGCCGTCTGCCACATGTCGCGGTCTGGACGTTCTCTTTGAATTTTTTTTATTTTTCCGCACGCGTTTTCGGCCTTTTAAACGGGTTTTTTCGGGGGGTTTCGACGTTTGGGTTTTCCACCGGTCTTGCTAAACTTTTGGACAAAAAACAATATTTCGAAAAAATATGTTTTTTCATGAAAAAACGCATTTTCTTTTATTTTCCCTTTTACGAGAGTCAAGGTTTTGCTTCCGTGCGAGGCACGATTTTGCTTCGCGAGAGTCACGGCCGTGCCTCTCGGAAACGGAAAAAAACGCATTTTCTGTTGTTTTTTTCTTCCCCGAAAGGCACGGTTCTGATTCCGAGAGATGCACGGTTGTGCTTTCGCGAGAGTCACGACCGTGCCTGTCGAAAACGGAAAAGAAACGTGTTTTCTGTTTTTTTCCTTCCGCAAGAGGCACAGTTTTGCTTCCGTGAGAGGCACGGTTGTGCTTTCACGAGAGGCACGGCCGTGCCTCTCGGAAACGAAAAAACCGCGTTTTATGTGGGTTTTTTTCTTTCATGAGAGGCACGGGTTTGCTCCCGCTAGAGGCATGGTTGTGCTTTCGCAAGAGCCATGGCCGTTCCTCCTCGGAAACCAGCAAGAGGCACGGTTTTGCTTCCACGAGAGGCACGGTTGTGATTTTGCGAGTGGCACGACGCGTGCCTCTTTCGGAAAGGGAAAAAATCTGTGTTCCCGGTTCGTTTCTTTCTTCGGGTTTTTTTCATGAAAAAAAATCTTCAAAACCTATCAACATGGGATGTAGTTCTGAAAATCTCGACGCGAGGAATCCAACGGTGAAAATGGTTCAAGATTTGGACGCACGATCAAGAGATAAAACGTTTTGAATAAATGAGTCTACGAAAAAGGGAAAACTCACAGGTTGCAACAAGTGGCACACATGCAGAGCGTCACTTGTCGCAACCCGGGGAGGTGGGGGTGATCTTTACAGCGAGTACTCCTTAAGGCTGTCCGTAATGGTAGTATCATAGGTAGTATCATGCATGACAACTAAGCAATTTTGACGAGATGGCATAGAATTAAATGAAGAAAGAGATGCTTAAATATCATATCATGATACCGTATCATATTAAATGATGTGCTACTTTGTGTCATGCATGATAATAAATGTAGTACTCTATGATACCAACATATAATACTTTGCATTACGGATGGAGTATCATACACTACTATCATATGCATGATACTAGTATATGATACTCCCATTACAACCAGCCTAACTAGTGATTTCGTGATTTTGGGCTGTTTCTTTTTGACTAACCACCCGTTTGGATCAGTCGATTTACTCATGGGTTGAAGCCTGTTATCTATACCGCCCAACCCTCCCCTCTCTCTCAATTTTTGTGCGTTTCTCCTGTTTTCCTTTATTAGTTGGTTTCTATTTCATATATTTTTGTAGGTATTTTGGGATGTTGGGTGTGTGTAAATGTATACACATAAATACTTTGCAACATGTGCGAAAATTACACTATTATATGATTGTTTTTGCATACTGCAATAACTGCTACTATAGTGCTAATTTGTGTGCAAGTTTTTTTAGTTTTCCTTAATTATCCTTCTTGTCAAGATTATACCAATGGCACCAATTCATTGTTCCTTACAAAAATTGATTATTAATTTATTATATTTCTTGTTTAAGGGTAGTATCAATGGCACTAATTCATTTCCTCTTAGAATTCTTCTTCAAAAATTCCATTTTTATATGCTTATTCTTGCATATTTGAGAAACAAAATTGTATAGTGTGTGCAAAAGTTGTAAGTTGTCATTGTTTGTTTTACTAGTTTAAATTTCTATTTTCTTAAAAGGTAATACCAATGCCACCAATTCATTCTTCCTTAGAAAACCTCATTATTCTGATTTTCTTTTAGTTTTTATTTTATAATAGTTCTTCTTAAAGGTTACTACCAATATCAGTAATTCATTTTTCTATAAAAAATCATTATTTTCATTTATTTTAGTTATTATTTATTTTATTTCTTATTTAAGGTTAAAAGAAATGCCACTAATTAATTTCTTCTTTGGAAATTCTTTTTCGTAAAAATTCCACTACCATATGCTTATTCTTACAAATTTATAAAAAGCGCAATTTGTTGTTTATATTGTGTGAAAATATCATTATTTGTTTTTATATATTTTTTCTTCTTAAAAGGTAATACCAATGCCACTAATTCATTCTTCCTTAGAAAACTTCATTATTCTATTTTTTTTATTTTCTATTCCATTTTCTTTCTTCTACAAGGGTAATATCAAAACCATTAATTTATTATTTCTCAGAAAACTTCATAATTTTGATGTTGATTTAGTTTTATTCCATTTTATTTTTTATTTGATGGTAATACCAATCCCACTAATTCATTCATTCTTAGCAATCCTCCTTTTCAAAGAAAATCATAGTATTATATGCTTATTTTTACATATTATATAAAAGCGCAATTTCTGTGTAAATCATGTGCACATTTTGCCATTATTGTTTTCTTACTTTTCAATTCCTTTTTCTTCAAGGGTCATAGAAATGCCACTAATTCATCCTTTTCTAGGAAACTTCATTAATTTCATATTTCATTTTGTTTATTTCTAACTAAAGGGTAATAACAAAACCACTAATCCATTTTTTCTCAGAAAACTTCATTAGTTTGTTTTTAATTTATTTTTTATTTCATTTTCTTTCTTATTTCATGGAAAAACCAATGCCACTAGTTCATTCCTTCTTCGGATGTATGTAAACTATGCGTAAATTTTCTTATTATTTGTTTTTTTATTTTGTTCTCTTAAAGGGTAATACCAAAGGAAGTTCATTTTTTTCTTAGAAAACTTCATTATTTTCTTTTTGATTTATTTTTTGTTTTTTTCTTAAAGGGTAATAACAATACGACTAATTCTTTATTCCTTAGAACACTTCATTATTTTGATGTAGTTTAGTTTTTGTTCCATTTTCTTTCTTCCATAAGGGTAATACCATTTAGTTTTAGTTTTAGGAAATTTCTTTTTTGGGAACAATTCCACTATCATATGCTTATTATTGCATATTAAAAAAATGCAATTTCTGAGTAAATTGTGTAGAAATATGGTCATTATTTGTTTTAGTGTTTTCCTTTTCTTTCTTCTTAAACGGTAATACCAATGGCACTAATTCATTCTTCCTTAAAAAAAACCTCATTATTTTGTTTTTTGGTTCTTCTTTCATTTTTTTTCCTTTGAGGGAGCTACTTATTCTTTTAATTTTAGGAAACTTCCTTTTTAGAAAAATATTCTTGCATATTAAAAAAAGTGCAGTTTACACGTTAATTGTGAGAAAATTTTGTCATTATTCATTTCATTTTTTTTCATAAAGGGTAATACCAATGTCACTCATCGCAAAAAATAATAATAATACCAATGTGACTAATTCATCCTTTGTTAGAAATTTCATTATTTTGATTTGTTTAATTTCTATTTTGTTTTATTTTTCTTCATATAAAAAACTACACGAATTATAGACATGCCTACGCCTTTACTCATCATCCTCATGCAGAGATTAAATAAACACTAACTTCATATATGTACACATACCTCGTATCGTAATTAAGCTTTAGTTGATCTATGGATAAAAACTTACACATAGAAGATATATTTATGAAGTCCAACACTTGTGTGTAGTTTCTAGGATGTGTTCATCAGAATATACTACTATAACTAGCTAGGTTGTGCTCTCACGCGAGGAAGGCTAGTACGTATGTGTGGCCTCTGGTAAAAAAATAGTGACGGGCAGAAATTCCAAATTCATCATTTCTTAGAGAACTACATTTTTGTGTTTTTTTTTGTTCCTTTGTTTTTGTCTTTGTCTTTCGATGTATCAGATCAGTTTATGTTATGTCTTTTAGAGAAAAGGCGAGTGCCCGACTTTATAAATAAAGCCATACGAAAAGAGTCAACATCCAGCGTACCAACACAGACCACCCAAAGTCACACGAAGCACCCCACACTGGGTAACGAAATAAGACAACAGTTAATCGGCATGCAGGCCCGAAAACAGCATAGGTTCACGCAGGCCACCACCTCCGCACACAAAA